TTAATTGTTGGAGATTGGGAGCCGGTGGATACAGTAGCTGCTGCTGAGATGATCAAGACTCGGCTTGAGTTTGTGAAAGCGTTTGTGTATGAGAATGGATGGTCCAGAGACTGGCCTTTAGCTGCAGATGGAGAGCGAAGGAAGCTACTCAAGGAAGTTAAGTTGCTTCTTGTGTCGTTTGAGGAGTGTAAGATTCTTTCTTGTGGTGTTCGAGACTGGTTGATGCGTTTTGTGATTAGGCATCTTGCACAGTATGAAGTTTCAGAGTGCCGCCTAGTGGAAACACCTCAGAGTATCTGCTTTTTGGAATGTGGTGAGCTCAGTGAAGTTATAGACCTTCTCAAGCTCATCAAGTGTGAAAGGGATGATGGCGCAGATGTGGTTAGCAGAGCAGTGGATAGTTCATTGGGTCGTGCTCGAGTTAAAGAAAAGATTGAATTCGATGATCAGTTTTCATCTATGCTTCTGGATAAAAGACTGCTGAGAGGAGAGATTTCTTCGTTTGATGATGAAGGGACAATAGGTTTTTGTGGTGAGGATGTTTACTACGCCAAGACACATCCTCAGGGAGATGATTTCATAACCTGGTTGCTTGACTTTCCTCTGATAGATGAGAGCTTTGAGTTTCCGAGATCTATCAGAGCATACAATCTTGATATATGGGTTGCTGTTCTGAGAGCCATTCACTTCACGTGTAGGGACTTGGGAGCCAAATATGCAAAGAAGTTGAATATCTTAGGTTATGATGCATGTCTTGTCGACGCCATAAACCTATGTGTATGCGAGAATGAAAGGAGAAACAATGTTCCGGAACATGAATGGAACAAATATGCATATCTTCTACACAAAGAATGTGAAGAGCGTGGAACTAAGGAGCCTTACTGTTCTCTCAATACACACATGTTCCTGTGTGCAGTGAAAGATGTTCTCGAAGAAGCATCGCATCCGACGTTTTATTTCCCTGATCTGGGAGATTGTATGAAACTTATACATGGGAATAAAGATGTCAGTGATGAGAGAGTGTGGAAGTCCATGGATCTTCTGAGATCAGTGGTCGCCAACAAGGTTATATACTGATCTGAGTTTTTGTTAATAACATGATAACATACACGAATTGTTATGGTAAAGTATCTTTTTAACTTGCAGGTTCCGTTAGCCGATTCAAAGATTTTACTGGTTGAAAATTCAAGGATTAGTTTGCTAAATGACCTCATCAGGCTTTCTGTTTTTGACCACCGATCTTATATCCTTAATCTGCTGAAACGTTGCTTGCGGGTTGGTTTTTGGAACTTTAGTTTTTATACATAGAGCTCTGATATTCTCTTTGACATGTAGCTTATACTACAACTTATGTCTCTTCTTCTAGGACAAGTTAGATGGAATAGTAGATATGGATACCAAAGCCAAGGTAGCTGCAGCAGGTGCAGATCTTTTATCCGAGAAAAGCCAAGAGAAGGAGAAGAATTCAGGGTCAAAGAAAAGAAAACATGGAAACAAGAAGGTTGTTGAAGATCTAAATTCTCTATTTGCTTCTCTGACTTTTCGGGTACTCAGTTGTAAGAACGAATGGTCTTCATTGCGTTACAGAGAACTTCGACGAGCTTGTCTAGTCTTCATGATCCGAAGGTCAAACAGTAAGTGTCTCTTCTCTGGATGAGAAAATTTGGTTTTTCAAGAGTCGTTTTGTAAGTTGATATCTTGTTTCCGGATTTTCTCTGAACAAAAAGTGTTTTTACATGTCCAGTGAACATCCTGTCAACCTTGAACCGGACGGTACGCATCTATCACTAGAAGATGATGTGGAAGAAAGTGCAGTGGAGCCAGAATGTACCAATGAGACGGCTAAAGGTGACTTTGATTGTAAAAGAGTTTCTCTATCAATGAATATGCTAATGTACTTTGTGATACATAATTCTTACTTGTTACATTTGGTATCTTCAAGATATGCAAACCATGCCTGGACAGGAGTCACTGTCGAAACCTTTGGAGTCAGCACTTCGAGAAGGTCCAGCCAGAAGCAATTTAGCTCTTGACATGACGCTGAAGGTAAAGCAGGCGCCAACAGAAAAAAAAAAGATTCAAAACCTTGAACAAATTGTGTAATATCTCTTTACTCACTTGTTTTCTTTGAACAATTGTGCTGCAGGCACTCTGTAACATTAAGGTTCTTAAAGAGTATTTGGTGCACAATCGGAATCAATTTCCTGACAACATGGAAGAACAAGTCCCTTTTGCACTAGGGAATTTCTTTGCTGCTTTTGCCTCGAACCAGATGAAAGAAGAGGGACTCTACAGTTACCTCCTCGGCAACGTACTTGCTTCCCTAGAAGAAGCTCATTTAATGGTTTGTGTGGATATATACATATATATATATATATGCTTCTAAGTTCGTTGATTGTAGTATGAGATATCATTCTGGTTATTTACTCTTTTCAGTCAAGTAATGCTTCTGAGCTGCTCGTAGCCATCCTTGAGTTCTGGCCTTGCTGGAAAATTCCAGAAATACAAAGCGTGGTAACTCATCTTTTTACAGTGGAAGAATATGAACGAATGAGTTGTAGCAAATGCAGAAAGAAGCCAAATTATCCAGAGCAGAGTTCTTATGGCATCGTTATGGCTGCAGATTCAATCAGAGACTTGAAGGTATGTTTCTTCTATCTCCCCCTTTGTCTATCCTACAGAAACTGGTAATTAATAATTTTTTTGTGGTTATATATGATGCAGTCTGCTTTTGGGAAAATTAAGTTTGAGGACATCCTTAAGGTGATTCGAATGGAAGAGAAAATGTTATGTGACATTAAAACCGGAGGCTGTGGAAAGGCAAACTTTGTTCATCACATTATAACTACACGCCCTCCTATATTCACAATCGGTAAGTGTTTTGACCATGATTGTGTGTGATCTTATCGACTCGTTTAATTGTGTTATGCACTATATGATAAAACAAATTTGGTGTTTTATGGGTTTTGCAACATTAGTTTTGGAATGGGAGAAGGATGAAACTGAAAAGGAAATATCTGAAACAACAAATGCTTTGGAGTGGGAGATAGATTTGAGCACGCTATACGAAGGCTTACAAGCAAACACAAAGTACCGGCTTGTGTCAATGGTAAAAATCTGATAAAAAGATTGTTGTGGTAAATTTTTCTGCAGAGTATTTCGCTGTTACAATCTGAGAATATGGAATTGCAGGTTGGTTGTGGTGGTGAAGACGGAGAACACATTTGCATGGCTTTTAAAAAGAATCGGTGGGTTAGTTTCAGACATGAAGCGTTAGCAAAAAAGGTAAGAAGAAACTTTTGGCTTTTCTTCTTCTTTCTTGAGTTTATTATGGGTCAGAGAGATTACTGATATGTGTTGTGGTGATGCCTTAGGCTGTTGGTAGCTGGAAGAGTGTAGTCAAATTCTGCGGAGAGACAAAGTTTCGGCCAGAGATTCTGTTTTATCAAGCTGTATTAGGAAGTTCCGGCGAGAACTTTGATGTATAGAACAGAGCATTTAGGTCTAGTTTTTGAAACAAGTTTATGTTCATTGTGTGAATAGAACAGTTGCAGTTACGTATAGGTGAAGTTACTATTCGGAACAAATAGTGTTACCTTCACTTGGACCAAATAGTGTTACGTATATGACAAAATCAGTTTTCTCGTTTTATTAAACCAAAGTTTATAAAAACTGAGAATTAAAATGATACCTATAAAATGTCCAAGATATAGCATCTCGTTCTCATAATCATATATTCTTCAAGTAAAAAATACTAGAGTTTAGTTAGATATGGGGAGAATATTTGGTCTCAGAAACAACTTTAAATTCGGCCTCAACATTCAATGCGTCTTCCTTGTCCAAGTAAAGCTTCCGAAGTTCATCTAAAGACAAAAAATGATTCCAGCCCCAACCCATGTTTGCTTCCTTGTGCCAGTGGTTCACTGCAAGTAAATAAAACGCGAAACATGGTTATTAGAAGACGAGCTGTACATATCCTTATCCTGAAGACCGTTATAATACCACTGTGTATCAACTATTGTGTAGTGAAAATAAAATAAAAATGTAGTTGTGTTTCAGGGAATACATTGGCATGTCTTGTGATTGGATCCAAGTGGGTCTAGAACTCGCAAATGTCCTTGCATGAAAATCTTCTCATCTGCTTTCGGTTTATCAATATCAGCTAAATGCAGAAAAATGGATACCCATTTGCCATCTTTATTGTTGAAGCCCTTCGGATACAGCTTTAGAACCCTATATACATACAAAACGTTAGTTATTATGAACTACTTATTTTAGGGTTGGCGACCTATTTCCCCACCACGAAGTATGGTGTCGTACTATACGCGGCCCAAACTAAAGGTCGGTGCTAAATCTCCATGAAAACAAAGTTCCAATCTTATATCTCCACAAAATCAAAGTTCTAAATCTAAATCTCCCCAGATTGAAAGTTCTATATCTCACTGCACACGAACACGGTTTTACCCGGTTTACTGTATACCAATTAAATATTAACCAACTAAATTTGATACTAAACCGATATTAACCCAATTATAACTTAATACGACCAGACCCAAGAAAATATGAGTGGACCCCACACTTCTTCTTCCCCAAATTTTTTCTTTTCTCTAATTCGCCATCAATATTTTCCCAGAATCCACACATATCCAACAAATTCCAGGAAAATATTGTTGATACATTGATAAGACGCCGAACAATGACCCATGAGCAGATCCATTATTGTCCATTAATGGCGATGTGGTGTTAATAACTAGGAGTGTGCCCAGATGAATTAGCCGGAAAATTGAACACAAATCAGCTTGGTTTTTTGAAGGAAAAGGACGATTCATAAGCAGAAACTGCGAATTAATTAGAGCAGAACATGGAAAATGATGTGGATTGGACACTGCTTCTCTTAAATTAGAGTATTTTGGGAGGGGAAAGCAAGATTTTTTACTCTTTTGTTGAGTACCCAAATAGAAAATCATCGAACTATGAATATAAAACCCAGAAAGTTTAAGTTTTTGCAACAAAAGCTAGAAATTTACTGGAAAACAGAGCTTGGAATTAAGAGGGAGACTGTGTTAATGGTGGAGCTGAGAGTTATAGAGAGAATTTGGAAGAAGTAGCTAAAGAGATGAGACAAAGGCAAAAACAAAAGAAAGAAGCTGTGTGAAAGATCAATTGTCTGAAGGATTCACGTTATTGTTCCCAGGTGAAGAAGAACTCTATGTTCAGGTCAATTTTTCCAAATTGGTTTTGTTGAAATTGAGTTTAGTTCGGTTTAGGGATCAGGTTTGGTAGATTTATGATTGGTTTGTAAACAATAACCAACAAAATCGATTTTATGTGGTCTAAGGTTTGAAACTTTCAGACGAGGGGGATATAAGATTGGAACTTTGTTTTCATAGAGATTTAGCACCGACCTTTAGTTTGGGCCGCATATAGTACGACACCATACTTCGTGATGGGAAAATAGGTCGTCAACCCATTATTTTACCATTTGGATACAACTTTAAAACCCTATATATACACAAACTTCGATTATTAATTATATGAACCACTTTTTTACCATTCATAAGTAAGCACACATATTTATTTAGTTTTATATATACTCACCATTTCCTTCCTCCCATTGAAAAACTGTTCGATGTGTGAACATCCTCTTTCAACGAAGAAAAGTTCTTAACATTCCAAGAGAACTTGGGATTAGGGAGTTTCTCATTAAAAGAGAGGATCTCCCAATTGGTAAGGGGTGAAGCAACAATGACATCAACACCAAACTCACACTGACCACCTTCGTAGACGTATCCATTTAAAGGGTTAATGAACGTTTCATATGGAAGAACTTCTTGCAACCCCCACACCGTTTTAAGTGCATTGAACCTCTTTACCTCTACATCTGAATTTGAACATTATATTATGTGATACATTCAGAGAGAACTAGAGAGAGAGATCAGAGAAAGAGATGTGTGGCTCACCTTGAATAGTGAAGTACTTGTTTTGTTTCTTGTTGAAGACAAAGAAACGAAGTTCAGCAAAAACCTCAGTTGGTGGTGTGGATACCATCAAGCTTTTGCTGTCTATTTCCACGTGCATGGAGATAAACCCACTTACATTGTCCTTTTTGTTCCCTTTTGGGTATACGATCAATCTCCTGTTTTTTCTTTTTTGTAAACAGCCTTGCGTTAGCTAATATATAACAAAAGAGAGCATGTATTCTTTAAATAATGATAATGAATGCATGCTAAATCACACAACCCGTACCAGTCATATCCACCGGAGGAGAAAAGACGAGATTGGTATTTATCGTCAGTGTTAGCAGTCGAGTTCTCAAGTTGTGAGAAGTTGTGAATCTTTAGGGAGTAAGAAGATGGAGGATGCTCTCTCCACTTCTCCACAGTTTTAGAAACTGGTAATGAGCTTGAACTCATTCTACAAAAACCACGTACAAGTGCAAGTTTTAAAAGGTTATATTGTCAACCCTAATTTGGTTGAATTTGTGATTATAAGCAAGAAACTGTAATTGTTCTCAGAATATTCTGAAAAAACTTTTTGTGTTGCTCTCTGAATTGATCGGGTGATTTTTGCTCTCCAAGCATAGATAAAAGACTTTACATTTGTTCTAAAAAGGTAAATTTGCTATTCTCTCTAAACTAAAAAGGATAAATCTAATATTCTTTCTAAATTAATGTTAATTATCTATATTTTGGTCCAGCTTTTCCTTGTATAAATTGGACATGTACTCATAGAAAGAAGAAGAGTCGACAAAAAGCGGGGAAAAAAATTAAAAGCGTAGAGGAGTTTACTGGTTAGGATCTCGATCGACATGTCTGAAAAAGCTATTTCGAAACACGCAGACGCTAACACAGGGGTTTTCTGGGACATCGTGGATTGCCCAATCCCTTGTGGTCTCGAGTTCGATCCTGATTCCATCTATGCCAACATCAAATTAGGTCTTGGTGAGTTGTCGACGATGACGATCTGGGCTTATGCTGGGAAGGTCCCAGAAACTATGTTTAATGACTATAATGAAGTCGGAATCACCATGCAACAAGTGATAGGTGATCAGTCTGCGCGAGTTGATCGGATGAAAGAGGACATCTATTCTTTTGCACATGAGAATAACTATCTTTGTAGTAGTTTGATGGTAATCGCAAAAGACATCTTAGAAGACGAGGAATTCATCAGATTTTGTGATAATTATTTGAAGGCGGGGCTCGGTCGTCGAATTCTTGTGGGAACACATCATCATGATGCTATCAGACCAGTAGAGCATCGTGGTATTGAGGTATGCTCTTAGAAGAGCCTATTAGAGGGACAAATTACTATTCCTTCAGATTTGGATCCCGAGAATAAATCTGTTGATGCATTGTCTGAAGAACTTGCCCACATTAGCACATGCATTGTACCAGAACCGGATAACTCTGTCGAAGCAGCATTGTCCAAAGAACTTGCATATGCTAACATAGGAGTCTACTGGGACATCATGGATTGCCCAATCCCTAAGGGCCTCAATCCTGATTCCATCTATGCCAACATCAGATTAGGTCTTGGTATCATGGGATATCATGGTGAGCTAACAGATAGTTGGGGTTATGCTAGCAAGGTCTCGTCGGATATGTTTGATGACTATGATGATGCCGGAATCTTGATGGAGGAATCAACGAATTCCGAGAGAGCTCATAAGATGGCAAATACCATTCTTTTGTTTGCACTGGACAATCCTTATAATCCATCAAATTTGTTGGTGATCGCAGATGACATGCCACAGAAGCCGGAGCTGATGAGGGTTCTTCAAGTTTTGAAACAGAGAAACATCAATGTTGTGGTAGCACAGCCTGATAAGCTGGTACCAATAGAGCTTCATAATATTGCAAGCTGTGTTTGCCTTTCTACGAGCCTATTAGCTAGAGGAAAGGCTACTCTGTTAGAGGTGAATCCAGAGAATAAGAACGTCTTGGATCCTAGTTTTCTCGATGACTCTGCAGTGCCCAAAAAACTTAAACTTACCTACGGTAACACAGGGGTCTTCTGGGACACCAAGGATTGCCCAAACCCTAATGCTCTAGAGGTAGATTTCTGTTCGATCGATAAGAGTATCAAATTAGGTCTTGCTAGTATGGATAAAAGTGGTAGTAGGGTGACGTCAATCTCGGCTTATGATGATGGTGGGAATATAAGTGTTTGGAATGGAGGGACCGACGCCATAATGGTTTCACACAAAGGAGATCGATTGAAGAGAATGGCATTGGACATTCTTTTGTGGGCACTGGACAATCGTGTGGGACAATATCCGATTGGTCATAGACAACCAAATGTGATAGTGGTCTCAAAAAACTTGTCAGAAGACGAGGATTTCGTCAAGACACTGCACTATTTGAGTGGCAGACAATGCAATGTTATATTTGGAGTGCCTGATGAAGTCAAAATTGTAAGCTTTCTATGAGAAGTGTTGGGGACAAGCAACATCAATGAGACCGCAAATTGTTTTACGTGGAAAACCTCTCCGATGTAAGGAGATTTTATATACAGGAAAGTAGGTATTTATAGTTTCTTGATGTTCAAACTTAGTAGTTAATATTGAATTGAATTATCCCCATCACACAAATGTATGCGTGTGTGATTTGATTACAGTTTGGTCTTAAATTTCATCAATGATTGGCATTTTAAAAATAAAAATAAAAAATTGGACATGTACTTGTCACGAGCATCTTCAGCTATCTCATTATAATTAAGAGGGTTGAGAATCTGATAAATATGAGCACTTTTTTTCCCCAGAACTTGAGGAAGGTTACGTAAGAGTCTATACATGCTAGCCATCAAAATAGCATGAAATAATTCTATGGATTTAAGGAAACAAGAACACAGAAGAAAACATTTATTTATTCTTGAAGCGAGTTAGTGTCTGATATAGTTAAACATTTATTCAACCGGCTAACATAACAGTCTCCTTAGCAAATAGTATGGCTCTTTAAAATTTAGGAAGTGACATGGATAGCTTAGTAGTAGCTGAATCTACTATGATTAGAACTACCAAGACAACACGAAGAATCAATCAATTCTCTCATTCTATAGAACTACAATGATACTTATAGAAAGGTCAAAGACACAACATAGCAACATCTTGTTTTCGAGCACTATTGTAATCATAGTACGTAGAAGAATGGTAGATAGCTGCTAATCTTAAAATGTGAAATGGAGCTTAGGTAATGGGAGAGTATTTTGTCTCAGAAACAACTTCAATTTTAACCTCAACATTCAAATTCTCTTCCTTGTCCAAGTAAAGCTTCCGAAGTTCATCTGAAGACAAAAATTGATTCCAACCCCAACCAGCGTTTGCTTCAACGTGCCAGTCATAGACTGCAAGAAAACAAAAGACGAAGCATGCATGATTATTAAAAAAAAATGAACGCCAAACGAATAATCCGGTACATTATCCTGAAGACGAGAACCAACTGTTTAGTTAAAATAAAATAAAAATGTAGGTGTGTTTTAGAAATTACATTGGCCATCCTTGTGAATGGATCCAAGTGGGTCTAGAACTCGAAAATTTCCTTGAATGAAGATCTTCTCATCTGCTTTTGGTTTATCAAAATCAGCTAAATGCAGAAAAACAGATAACCATTTGCCATCGTTTTTATAGCCCTTCGGATACAGCTTTAGAACCCTAAACAAACATCGATTATTAATATATTATGAACCACTTATATACCATTCATAAGTAAGTACACATATTTATTTAATTTTGTAGAATTATATATACTCACCAATTCCTTCCTCCCATTGAAAAAAGGTTTGATGAGTGTTCATCCTCTTTCGAGAAAGAAAAGTTCTTAACAGTCCATGAGAACTTGGGATTAATGAGTTTCTCATTGAAAGAGGGGATCTCCCACTTGGTAAGTGGTGGAGCAACGATGACATCAACACCAAACTCACATTGATCTCCATCGAAAATATAGCCATTTTCAGGGTTAATGAATGTGTCACATGGAAGAACTTGTTGCAATCCCCACACCGTTTTAAGTGCATTGAACCGCTTTACTTCTAGATCTGAATTTGAACATATTATGTGATATATGTATATATGGAGAGAGAGGGAGAGAGAGCATGATCAGATGTAGTTGACCTTGAATAGTGAAGTACTTGTTTTGTTTCTTGTTGAAGACAAAAAAACGGAGTTCGGCAAAAGCCTCATTTGGTGGTGTGGATATCATCAAGCTTTCGTTGTCTATTTCCACGTACAAGGAGATAAATCCACTTCCATTGTCCTTTTCATTTCCTTTCGGGTATACGATCAATCTCCTGTTATATTAACAAACAACAATACTGCATTTTAGCTAAATACGGATGTATGCTGATAACGATGTTGTTTAGTTACGCTAAATGAATAAAAGATTCGCACGTACCAGTTATATCCACCGGAGGAGAAAACACGAGATTGGTATTTATCGTCAGAGGAAGAAGTCGAATTCTCAAGTAGTGAGAAGTTGTGAATCTTTAGGGAATACGAAGATGGAGGATGCTCTCTCCACTTCTCCACATTTTTAGAAACCGGTACTGAGCTTGACCCCATTCTACCCAAAACACGTAAGACTATAGTGAACTCTAGTAGTTGTGGACACTATATATAATAAAAAAGAGACGTTTGGAGTGTTCAAGATAATGATTAGGTTTTTTCTTCTTCAAATTAAAACGATGTTACATAAAGAAAATGAAGCGTCTTGGAAATAACATTGGGAGAGGAAGGCGTAGCAGTCTCATAACGACTTTATTTAGAATACAAAGAGCCATAACTCGTGAATCCAGGCGTTTACACTATTCGAGAGTATTCTTTAATTAATTTTGACATCAATACTATTCATGTAAGAAGTTTGAAAGTTTTAGTTTACCAAAAAAAAAATTTGAAAGTTTGAATGACGAGTGTAGAAAGATTCACCTTTATTGTTAGCTTCACAAATAATCAAATTTCCAAGTTTGGCTTTTCAATAATCTCATCGTACAATGGAGAGTACCGTTTGAGTGAAAGACATACAATCTCATCGTTTGAGTTTAACAAATATGTTTGATTTTAGCTTCTTAGCTAGAAAAATTACAAGTGGCGAGTGTATATTTTATTTTCTAATCATAATGCTTCAACAGAGTATTGCTCGATCATTTCTGTTTAAAGTAACCTAAGCTGCTTAAATTTAATAATTTGTACAAAGATTAATTCTAACTCCTAACCTATCTATGCCGTCTATTGCAAGAGTTTGTCACGCTTTACCAGAAAAAAACCTCTCCAAGCTTGTTCATCTTGAAACACCTATGCGTATAAGAATTTGTTTTCTTTTTTATAATCCAATTATTAAAAAAAAAAGAAATCGAATGATGATTAAAAAACAACCAAGCCATAACATTATCTTGTTCTCATAGCAATATAGTAGTAGAGATAGTAGAAGAATGGTAAATAACTGATATTCTAATAGTAAAAAATAGAGCTTAATAATTATATATTGGGAGAGTATTTGGTCTCAGAAACAACTTCAAATTCGACCTCAAAAATCAAATTGTCTTCCTTGTCCAAGTAAAGCTTCCGAAGTTCAGCTAAAGACAAATATTGATCCCAACCCCAACCCATGTTTCCTTCCAAGTGCCGGCCGTTCACTGCAAGAAAAAAAATTAGGAAATATGATTGTAAGCATATATGTATCAAGTATCAACCGTTGCTTATTTAGTTGAAGAAAACAAAATGTAAATGTGTTTTAGAAAGTACTTGAACGTGCAAAGTGATTGGACCCAAGTGGGTCTAGAACTCGCAAATGTGCTTGGGTGTAAATCGTCTCATCTGCTTTCAGTTTTTCGCTATCAGCTAAATACAGAAATACCGATAGCCATTTGCCATCAGCTCTAGAGTTTCCATTCGGATGCATCTGTAGAACCCTACAAAACATAAATGATTATGTGTTCGTGTATAAACAGTTACATATTTATTCTTCCGAAAACAAAGGCTTTTTTTTTTTTTGTCAACGAAACAAAGCTTATCTATAAACTCACCATTGTCTTCCTCCCTTTGAAAAAGTGTTTGATGTGTATTGATCATTTTTCAACAAAGAAAAATTCTTAACAGTCCATGCAAACTTATTAGGACGAGTAAGTTTCTCATCGAAAGAGAGGATCTCCCAACTGGTAAGGGGTGGAACAACAATGACATCAACACCAAACTCACATTGGTCTCCCTCAAAGATGTATCCATTTTTAGGGTTCTTGAATACATCACATGGAAGAACTTGCAACAACCCCCACACCGCCTTTAGTGCATTGAACCGCTTTACTTCTAGATCTAAATATATATGAATAATATAATTATATCAAGTGATATATATATATATATATATAGAGAGAGAGAGAGAGAGAAAAAGATGTAGAGAGAGATAGATCAGAAGTAGTTGACCTTGTATAGTAAAGTACTTGTTCTGTTTCTTGTTGAAGACAAAGAAACGAACTTCTGCAAAAACATCAGCTGGTGGTGTGGATATCATCAAGCTTTTGCTGTCTATTTCCACGTACATGGAAATAAATCCACTTCCATTGTCCTTTTTATTCCCTTTTGGGTGTACGATCAATCTCCTGTTTTTTTAGACAAATAACATTACATAAATAAAGCTATATATATTGAAAATTATGGCGCTTAACATGATCCTTACCAGTTATATCCACCGGATGAGAAAACACGAGATTGATATTTATCATCAGTGGACGAAGTCGAGGTCTCAAGTTGTGAGAAGTTATGAACCTTGAGGGAGTAAGAAGATGGAGGATGCTCTCTCCACTTCTCCACAGTTTTAGAAACTTCTTCTGAGCATGAACCCATGACTATGATGAACTATTATCCGTTTCTATATATATAAGAGGAATCTTGGAGTAGTGTTCGGTGAAATAATATGAAAGTGTATGTTTGAATGGGTTTACATAGGTAGACTATTTATATAAATATGTAGTTCCTAATCCACCTAGAGATTTGCTAGAATAGTATATTGCAAATAGAACTAAATCTAAATATGTCTTTATCTCAGTATTCAGGATAAATAATAATTACAATATCGGATAGATTTCTTCCTTTTGAGTGTTTGCAATTGATTCTTGTTGGCTATGACCGAGACTTTGATACCATTTTATTGTGAATCTTTGTTCAGTCACTTCACAGTTCACTGACGTTCTTCTACTTGAGTTTGATTTTAGGTTTTGTGACATTACAAGAAGAGATTCAAAGAAGAGAGATTCACGAGTTCCCAAAACCATTACCAAATCCACTATAATTAGAGCTACAAGATCACAATCTTCTTACAAGAAAAGAAAAAAGACAATACCTCTCTGGATCATATCTGTTTAAAGTAACCTAAGCTGCTTAAACTTGAAAAATTGTACAAAGACTAATTCTAACTCCCAAGTCCTAACCTATCAATGCCGTGTAGTGCAAGTAGTTTAACGCCACGCTCTACCAGAAGTAACCTCTCCAAGATTGTTCACCGGTTGAATCAGATTCACTACCATATCCATCATCATTATCATCATCATAACTTTCACCGGAAAGCAACTTGATTCTATCAGCACGCTCAATCAACCAATCACTAAACCCTGGAGAAGCTGTAAGTCCCGCCATTGCTTCCCTCGTCGTCTCTACTGTCAACTCTTCATACTCTCTCTTCGACAGCTTCCTCCTGTTCGGCGTCCTGTGGTACGTTGAATAGAAATCCTTCCTCTCAATCGGTGATCTCCGGTCAACAAAAGACGGCGAGATCATATGCCTCACACCTGTGGAAACAAAAACATATCAAGAACTGAGAGACTTTCCCTTCAAGAACAACAATTGGTTAAAAGTTAAAAACCATATTATAAAACATACCGTTTGAAGGAGATCCAGAATATGAAGGTACAATACTCCTCCTAGCACTGTTCCACGGTCCACCACCTGTGGAAACATAACATATCAAGAACAGAGACTTTCCCTTAAAGAACAACAATAGTTAAAACCATATTATTAAAAATCTTACCGTTAGAAGGAGATCCAGAATGTGAAGGTACACTACTCCTCCTAGCACTGTTCCACAGTCCTCCACCACCTCCAGGACGGCTCAAGAACTCAGCTCGTCCGTTCATCGGACGTCCTTTACCAGCAGGAACCAGCCACTGACTTTGAGCTACAACGCTCTTCCTGCATTTAGGTGCAAACATTGCTCTGTTAAAGACTGAAGCAAGCTTCCCAAAAGATTGATAAAAAATGAGAAGGCCAGGAGAGCGTACACATACCTTTTGTGAAGCATTTTGCTCACAAGAAAACCGAGGAAGCTAGCTGAAACGAAAGCTCCCATCGCCAAAGGGGTATCAAGAGTGCTCTGGAAAATAAACGTGGCGGCAACAGAACGCATCGCCCATTTCACAAACTGAGCAACACTCGCATCCACACCTCCGTCTTTAGATACAACAAACTTCCTCACCGCCCAGAATCCGGAAGCAGCTCCTGTGATGACTATCCCCACAAGCAAGAGTATTGCAACCTGAGTGGCAAAATCAAGTAGCAAATTGTTATGCTTATGCTTACATTACAGATTAACTATAGCTTGCAATACGCAACACTGAGAGAGGAGCTAAGCAAGATTGAGAGAAATAGTTTACTGCAGAGGCAAGGGACAATGACTTACTGGATTGTACATGTCGTCACTCAGCCCCAAGTTGACAAGAATCATGTTCACCATCGTTGAGAATTGATGTAGAATGAATGATCCTAACCCTACCTGCAACAGTAATTTCAAAGTATGTAAGCACTTCTTTATGCAAACTTACTGCTTGAGGAAGCGGTTGTTAAAAATTACTCACCACGGATCCATATAATGCAAGATACATAAAGTTTTTCCTCCCAGTAGGCAATATCCTCATAGCCTGCACAGATTTTTTGAAGAAAATCAACTTCTTGACATAACAATTCAGAGATCTACACTTTAGTGAACTTGGAGAAATAATTTACCTGGAAGATAATGATAAGAACGACGAGAAAGACTCCAACAGCCATAGAACTGGTGTAGTAAAACGGAAGCCAGCTGCTCACAACCGGTGCTGCCAATATCACCACCAGTCCAGCCACAAGACAAACAATACGCCATCGCTGAAAATCTGCTCAGAAAAGCAAACATAAACAAGAAAGTTAAAAACTTAGTCCATTAAAGCCATAGGAGAGTGAAAATGAAAGAGAGCAAAGAGCAAAACCTTCTGCAACGGAGATGGTAACCGAAACAGACGAATCACCACTGAATTTCACATCAACGTATTGCTTATCATACGGAGACATGACAGAGCTCCAAAGCCCTCTCTGAAGATTTCTCCAATCAGCTTTCTCACACTTGCACATTCCAAGTGAAGCATTCCTGAAAAGACAATAAATAGAATGGTGAACATTAAAGCTCCCTTTTTTTTACTTACAGACTTCTTTAACATGTGGATAGAGAAAGCTGATGCACTTACCGGTGAACACAAACCTGGATTTTGCTGTGTAGCCTCTCTCTTACATTTACCAAAGGAGCCAAGTTTAGCCTTAAAGAATGTGCGTATTTCGCTAATTCGGTTCTCGAATAACCGTAAACTTGGATACGCTCACACGAGGTAAGGCTCACATTCAGAGCTCGTTGGCCAGGACCAACACCTGACAATGTCAAACCATGAAGAAAACAACTGTGTAAGTGAAACCAGAAACAAAGAAAATGTTCAATCTTTTAACATATAAACATGACAAGTTAGCGAATTTAATCAACAAGATGCTACATTCTTTACAATTTCATTTTCATTTCACAATTTTAAGCTCTTAATTGATCCAAAACAAGGAATTAGCAGATTTGATCAAATTTAAATTGCTTATCAGTTTTGAAGGAGAAGGGCTATGGAATGCAATTGAAGTAGATAGAAAAAAAACCAGTTCCTAAAAAATTGAACTTTATAAATCAACAATCTGGGACTCGGAATTTTCGTAAATCACACAGGGAGCTATAAACCCTAAGTTTCTCTGGAAGCTACTAAAAATCAAAGTAACGGATTCAAATAAGTAATTCCAGTGAGTAAAGAGATCGCAAGAGCTAATGAAGTAAGCAGTACCTTTGAGCGCCGTCGAGTCCGATACGAGCGCGCCTGTCACCGAGGAGGAGAAAAGAAAGACAACAAGAGGAAGGAGAAAGGAGATTCGATGAGGAAGAGTAAGGTGAGAGGATGAAGGAGAAGAAGAAGCAGCCATTATTGTCGATTGGATTTCTCTCTCGCTCTCTTCCTCTGTATGTTTCGTCACCACCGCCGAGGGAAGACGGAGGCGCGCAATATTTAAGCTTTTATCAGTTTCTGGGTTTGTTGCGCGTAGCGTTGTATCAAAGTGGAGAGAATCGGTTTAGATTAATTTAATTTTGTGTTGGTTTAATTTGGTACAAGTTAATTTAAACACTTTCTGCGTGTGTGTTGCGTTTACCGCGTAGCGTTGTATCAAAGTGGTACGGAGAGTTGGTTTAGAGTCTCGGTTTAGTTAAATTAATTGTGTTTTGGTTTGCTTTTTTTTTTTGTTTTTTCTTTTTGTAAAAGGGTATTCTATTCAAATTGCGAAAATTAAAAAGTACATGGCTATGACTGTTAGTGTTAGGTCATACAGTTATGAAAAGTTGATCAAGCAAAAGAAAAAAAATTACATCATAGAGTGAACAAAAGATTACACTAGATGGTTTGCTTTGGTACAAATTCATTTTCATTTTTCACACATTCTGGTACAAATCGATTGAGTATAACTGAAATTACACTTTCCTCTCCAAAATTCTGTTGAATTGTGTACAATTTGAGAATATCATTTGAGTGAAAACAATCTCATCTTTTGAAGCTTCATAAACTGTTTGATTTTATTTTCATCTATAGTTATCATCTTAGCCGTTTACAAGAACACAGAAGACAATATCATCCGTAAAAGATTCTGAAAACAATGTGCTAACTTAAGTGCGTAGCTGGTGAAATTAGAGGCAAATAGATTGTCATCCTTTGCTCGTCATCATCTCCAGAAAAACTATTAAAATACATCAACTCCTCCCATAAGGAAGGCACTTCCACTGTGAACTTTTTCACATTGTCATCCTTTGCTGGTCGCACAAACAAGATTCCGAGAACGGGGCAGCTTGAAAATAACCTAACCAGAGAATCCTTGTCTTTATATGAATTTCCTAGAGAGGTGTTGATATGATTTCACTTCCTCTGATTTCAATTTTATTTCAGTTCTTTCAATTTCTCTTGGATAATCCTTTCGATTTCAATTTGATTTCAAATCCTTTTAACTCTCTTTCAGGTTTATGAGTTTCTTCCTTCAATATCTTGACCTTGCCTCGTGGAGCTCAAGCGGAGATCCTTGCTTCAAAATACCATACACCATTATGTCAAGGCTTGGTAACCGTGTGGGGAAACCTCCAGATCTCGAGATCTAAGCTTTAACCCCACTGGAGATAGAGATGAGTTTGTTTGTTCTATATATGACCGATGTTAGGTTATAACTCAAAAGCGATTTTTTGTTGATGTCTCGGATTACAAAAATTTAAAAAAGCTTAAAGCTGAGGTGTCATCACCTAGAGAGGCACTTAAAGTTTTGATGTGTTGATTTAGTGCAAATCTACCCAAAATACTTTTGTGTTTCCAAATTGGATTTTAAATATTTGGGTTCTTCAGTTATATACACAAAAAATTTACAGAGATTTTCAATGATATACATCTCTAGTTTTTCTCTTAAGCTTCTTCTCAAAATTGTAAATATTTAAACACTTTCTGAGTCTGTTGCGTGTACCGCGTAGCGTTGTATTAAAGTGGTGCGGAGAGTTGGTTTAGAATCTCGGTTTAGTTAAATGAATTGTGTTTTGGTTTGCTTTGGTACAAGTCAATTTTCATTTTTCACACATTCTTCTTCTTCGATTGAGTATAACTGAAATTACACTTTCCTCTCCAAAATTCTGTTGAATCGTGTCCAATTTGAGATTATCATTTGAGTGAAAACAATCTCATATTTAAATGCTTAATAGTTAATACTCTGTTTGATTTTATTTTTATCTCTACTTATCATCTTAACGGTTTTACGAAAACACAGAAGATGCGTAAAAGATATTAAAAAAAAAAAAGAGATGTGATTTATTCCTATTTTTGTATAAACGTAAAAATGTTTTGGAGAAAACATAATCATTACAATATTTGTTCTTTTACATTTTGTTTTTGTATATGATGAGAACAAGAAACTGTACTGAAACAAATTGTGCCACAGCGCTATGCCAAAACTTTCAACTCTTGTTGTGTCTCCAACTTAGTTTCCTCCATCTTCTTCTCTCTTTTGTAACATGACGGCTGCAAAACTCATTTCAAAATGTACTCAGAAATCAGTGATGGTCACAAATTATAAGAATCAACATTTGGTGAGATTCGTTCAATCTAGAAACAGATCAATTTATTCAAGTACCTCATCATCAGATGAATCATCATGCCTCCTCTTTTTAGGTAACACATCAACCAAACCTGTACAAGATTTTATGCACATGAGAAACTTATTGTTTCCACAATCCTTCACTGGATAAAACTAAACTAAATTAGACCATACCTTGACCTGAATTTAATTCCTTTGGATCTTTCTTTTCCTTTGATACACCAAAAAACTCAAAGCAAAGGTCCATCATAGAGGTCAAGACCTGTTTTGATCAACACAGTCCCAAAATCACTACTTTGAAGATTAACTCACTCGCTAGGTAATGAAAAATAAATAAATGCCACTCACACATGAGAATTCTGATTCTGATGTCCCACAAACCTCAATCAATCTATGCTTATCTACCTTTAGCTGCAAAAAATTATTAATAATCAAAGATTAAACCTTAAACAACCCAAAAAGGTAATTAAAATGTTACAAATAATCAACAAACAGTACCTTTTGTTTTCTGGCACACAAAAAGAAAGCAGCAGCAGTAAATACAGGTCTAGTGAAATCAGTATTTGCTCTTCTTGATACAGGCAGTGATGCAAGAAACCGCTCCTTATACCTAAAAACGAAAACAAAACCAATCAAGTTATATTAGTCTTGAGTATAAATAAATGAATGCAGCAAAGTTGATTCAGGCATTTTAACAAACACATAGAAAGCAAAAACTTAAATCTTACGCTGATAAGCTTTTCTGCACAGTTGTGATTATCCTAACGCATCCAAATTGAATCGCTAATTCTTTCACATTAAGCTTAATCCTGAAATTACCCCCAAACAAACCCATCAATCAATACAACTCCACAAAAATTGAATAACAAACAGTTAACAAAATTGGAATAGAAACTCACTTGACTCCAACGCCGTTTTGAAGTGTATTAAATGATCTAGAATAAGCCCTTTCGGATGCTCAACTTAAACGCTGCTTGTCTGTCGAAAATAACTTGGAGTCTGTAATAAAAATCCCAAATTCGATTAAAGTTTCAGAGATTTCACAAAACAAAATTCGATAAAATCAAATTACATTACCTAGATGCTGCCATCTCCAGACATATAACAGCTTTACAGATCTCTCCCTGCGAAAAGTCAATTACAAATTAAACAACTGAAAACGCAAATTTTTACTTTTGAATTCAAGTAAAAAAAGTTAATCGTACGACGCCGATGATGGAGGAATCGAATTGGACATCGCATAGACGACGGATTTCTGCAGCTTTGCGGATGAGAAGCTTGTTATCGGCGAGATCAAGCTTCTTGGCTATGTTGGAGATATCATTGTAATTCAAGATTCGAGAGAGAAAGTGGAGTAATTAAAGGGAAGTTTCTCTTTTTCCTTTTAACATTTTGAAATTTTTTTTACTCGCGCCTGTAGATTTTTTTTTTTTTTTTTTTTTTTTCCGGCTTCAATATAAGCGCCTCTTAGATTTTCCCGCCATATTTTCTTACCATTTCGTTTATTTATTTATTTACATATATGGAAGCAATAATAGTTTTTTGTAAAAAGAGAAAATATACACTTATGGGATTTTGTTTTAGTATTTTGACCTCTAGAAACAAAAATTTAGAAAACAACATATGTAGTTAGAAACAATTTTTTTAATTTTTTTTAACAGAGAAAAACTCAAATTAAACCAACTTTTCATATCAAACGAACAACTGGAATATACAAGCAGCTAATCTTGCATTTAGATGTTCCAAACTCAAATGATCAATAACGGACCATGCAACAATAATATAACTTCTCTTTGTTTTTACCACACTTTTTTTTACGCTAAATACCGATAAAGTTTCCGATCAGTATTATCCCTCTCCAAGAAATCACGTTCAATAAGCGACTCAATCCTCTTCTTGATCTCCGCCGGATTCGCCAAGAACCTCCCCTGCAACATTTTCGTAACCTCCGCAATCACATTATTATGATCCAACACTTTCCTCGACTTCATAATCCTCACGACCGCCGCTTCAATCTGCGGCTTCCGATCCTCCTCAACTCTATGCCTCGTCTCAAACTTCTCCGTCTCCGTCTCCTTCTGCGCCACCACAGTCCCAATCTTCACTTTATAAAACTTACTCACAAACTTCTCGTTCACAACAAAACAATCCTCCTCTCCAATCTCCCTACTCAACGGCTCTTTCCTCAACACGTTTTTGCCTTTCACGCACGCCATCGACTGCAAGCAGCGCTTTAAATCCGAACGCGGAATCTCCGTCGCTTGCTCGATCTCCTTATAACTAAGCCTATCAGAGCCGTTGAAAAGCATAAGAACACACATTTGGAAAGTCGACACGTTTAGCTCGTGCCTCTGAGATTTACCAAACGTTGCTTTCACATCAGCTGTTCCCATATTCGTCTGCCAAGACAGTCTCCTCCCGTTATGCGTCCCTAAGTAATGTGACTTAAACTTCTCACAGAGCACAGAAACCTCCGCCGGCAAGTTACACGGCACCGTCGGTTGCGCCGGCCAAAAACCCGTCGTGAGGATCTGAACGGAGATCGTCGTCCCTTCCGATAGCTCAGGGTGGGTGTTGTAGAAGCCTTTCACAGTGTCTTGTGATGTTTTCATGTCAGTGAACATTCCTTCAAGCTTTGAAGTGAACTGATAACCACACTCCGTCTTCAGCTTCACAATCAGACTCCTCTCCGCGTCGTCTGAAACCGTTCTCCCGGATAAAAGCCGTTTCGCTAAATGCTGCTTGTAGTACTTCTCGAAAACGTCCTTCTCGTGCAAGTAACGGAACAAGATCATCACTTTCTCGAAAACAACCTCAAGCTCTTCTTCACCAGAGCCTTTGACTCCTTTTCTCATCTTGTCGTCAACGAAGAGAGAGATAAACTCAGGAGAACGGTTGTTCAAGTTGATGAAGAACTCAAACGAAGAAACCAGCAAGTTCTGGAACGTCTTGTCGTTGTTAAACGACTTGGTGATGATCTCGTCGTACTTATCTCTCTCGTTTAACAATCTCTGCACGAACTCAACCGGATCTTTTGACTTCTCTGGATCAGTAACAATCTGTTTCCCCATCTCTCTAAGATGCAGAGTCATAACATCTCTCACTGTAGCAAGACCTTTCTCAACTCTCCCGAACAAAGTATACATTCTACTCAAATCCTCAAACTTATCTTCCACAAGCATCTTCACAAGACCTGAATTCTCCATGTGAACAAGCCTCTGTATGTGATTCGAAATCATCTCTCTTTCAACCACACTAGTGATCTTTGCTTCCGTCTTCTCGTCAAGATAGTGAGCGACTCTTTCGACTTCTTCAGCTAAAGGCTTCTCTGCTTTCTTCAAGTAATCACCACAGTCGCAAGACTCAACAAACCTCTGTGACTCTCCTTTGTAAAACTCAGCAGAAGCATCCAAGAACGGCTTCTCGAAATCCTCTAAATACACTAACTCACCTAACTCCATCAACATCTTGATCACATTCCTCATCAACAACCTGTCAACGACTTCACCTAATCTCTCCTTGCGTACTAATTCAAGAAGAGTGTTTCTAAGCCGAGTCTGGATCTTACTTGATTGAACAATGTGATCTCTCCAGAGGTTGAGCCCGAGCTCGTGAACAGGCGTTTTCTTGGTGCTGGAGACGTAGGTACGGTCCATGTACATGACGATGTCTCTTATCATGTGCAGGGCTTTGTTGTGATCGTTCCATTTCCTGTTGATCATTTCTAAGAACGAATCTCCTTGAGCTGATTCGATGGAGTTGCATATCTCCTTGAGATGAGCAGTCATGGCGGTGACGAGTCCTGAGTAAAGCTTTTCTCCGAATTTATGCAGAACCAAATTGTATGCGTTTCTGAGAGAGCCAAGCCAATATACACACGAAATTTAAATAAAGCTGGAGAAATCATTGAGAGAGAGAGAGAGAGAAGAAGCATGAGATTCACGAAGACCTGTAAAGCTCTTCGAAGCTGAGTCCGCTTGCGTTGTGATTGTAGATTTCGGCGATTGCATGCTCGAGAATCTTCCAGGTACGATCGGCGTATTTCGGATCAACCACGACCCGGTGCTTGAACGCCTCTATCTGGAAATTCTTCTTCCTCGGATTATGATTATTGTTACTCATGTTGAGGACACTGAATCGAAAAAAAAAAACCCAGGAAGATCACAAAATCACTTAATAAGGGAAAATCTGGAAATCGAAACAATAAGAAACGAGAAAGTCAAGGAAGTGATAAATCTTAGCTCAATCTAGGAATCAGAGTGTTAAAAAAGGAAATCGGAGACTCACCGGAACAAATCTGGGTCGGGGTCAGGGTTTGGAGTAAATTAACGGAGAAATCTAAGAATTAACGGAGATAGGTATGCGAATTGAGCTTCTGTGTGTTGTGGCCTTGTGGGAGTGGTTATGTCGAAGAGAGGAGGAGGATTTTGAAGGTTGTTGAAGATGACTGCAATGGAGCCAAAGAAAAAGGAAAGACTCTCTCTTTCTCTCTCTTGGTTTTGAAATTTGTAACACTTCTTACTTTCTTAGCCCAGTGGGCTTACCTTTTCAGTGGGCTTAAATACTTACGATGTCGTTTTATCGTAACCATTTACACTCACAGATTTATGTCAATATCCGAATCGAAGTTACCGGTCCGGGTCGGGTCTGTTTATTTTTGGGTTCGTTCGCGTTAAATTAACGCCCGCGTGAATAGAACGCTTCGTCTTGGATTGAAGTATATAACTTCAGCTTTTGATTTGAGAGTTCTTCATCAGATTCCCTGCAACTTCGATTCATCCTTTTCTCTTTAGCTTTCCAGTTAAATCGATTAGCAGGTAATTCGCTTCTTCCCTTTTTTGTTTCCGAGTCTTCTCTGTTCTCTTTAATCCCAAAATTTTGGATTTTTTGTTTTGTTTCTGAGACTGCAGTCATCGGCAATTTAGTGTAGTTTTTTTGGTTTGCTCTGTTCTGTTTGTAGATTGTAATAATGATTTTTTTTTTTTTCCGAATGTAGGTCGAAACATGTCTCGTGAGTTTTGTCCGGCGAGGCCTTTGTTTGGCGGCGCAATTTCCAGCCACTTCCCTCAAAGATTCGAGGTTTGCGTCAATAATCAATTTTTGTTTCTGCGGCTAATTCGTGTTTCCAATCAATAATCGGTTTCTTGATTCTCCTCAGGATGTGAGCAATATCCGACAAGTTCCAGATCATCAGGTTTGTAACTCTTTTCTCTATCAAGACATAAATTTTATCTGTAGAATAATCTCTAATATGATTGTTGTTTTTAATTATTGGTTTTTGTCAGGAAGTGTTTGTGGATCCTTCAAGGGACGAGAGTTTGATAATTGAGCTCTTGGATTTCAAGAGTGAGGTTGGTGACGACGGTAGTGCTTCTTGGTTCCTCCACGATCTTGCTCGTGAACAAGACGCTGAAGGATTCAAGGTAAAACCACTTTAGTCTTCTCCTTGTCATGTTCTTTATAAAACGAATCTAATCAAAGCTTCAATTTTTTTTGGGATTTTGTGATTTTTTTGTTATTCAGTTTATGAAAGTTTATGTCTTTTTGCCAAGATTTGATTGATTTATCCGTGAGGATTGTTATATGTGCATATTCCTGGAAACTAGTTTTTGTGATCGCAAGACAATGTAGTTAATGGTGTCTGTGTAATTTTCAGTTGATTGAGCAATCAGAGGTCATTGAAGCGCCTGGTCTTACTTTCAGAAACATTCCTGCCGTTGTAACAACTGCTACTGGAGAGATGGTAATTTAATAGAACATGATGTTTTTCGTTTTGTTCGCCGGTAAATTATCTTCCTTTTTGTACCTAACAGTGATATGATTATGATTACAGGCTATATCTAAAGGAAGACAAGGAAGAGAAGCACAGAATTTAGTGAGGGTAATTAACTAACCTTTTCCTTGTTGTTCTGTCCCTTTTTTTTTAGTTTCTTGAGACATAACTGGTCTTGATAATGATGATTTCTTCTTCAGGTATATGTGGCAAATCTTCGTCTTAAGGGTGTTGAGACAGATGCCTTGGTGACTGCTTATGAACCTATTCTCATCAAGTAAGTCCCACAACTTGAAAGAAATTGAATGAATTTTGAATTCATACGTGTTTTTAGTCTCATTGTGTTTGCATATTGTGCAGCCCTTTGAGCGAGAGTGCGGAAGCTGTAGGATCTGGTTTAGCTGTGCCAGCTTCACAATCTGGAAACATGCCAATGTGTGATGTTATCAAGCAATCACTCTCCACATTCAAAGTCAATGACTGGAGTCTCTTCGGTTCCCCAGCTTGCTGAGTCTATGCTTCCTTCATATTTGTCGTCTTGGTGTTTGGTTTCTATTTTCCTATATTTATCTTCTTTTCTCTTTAGAATTCAGTTCTTGATAGGAATAGAGTTTTTTGGTGTCACTATGTAAACGTGAATTTTGGTGACTTTAATTGAATAAAATTCAACCTTTCGATTTTTTGGAGCATTCAAACAAGATTCACTTGATCTCCTTTTGAGCTTTAGATTACAAGTAATGCCTATGTAATGTATTGAATGAAACATAATATCCATGTGAACTCATTTCTTTGTTAGAGGAATATATCTTTGATGTATTTAGTTGTCTCTATGATATGTTTCTTCACAAATTCTGGCAGAGAAATCAAAACTTTTGAATCCTATAGAAAACCAAAAGGCAAATTCATGACTAAGTTTTGCTAGTTAGCCATGGATCCTAAAAAAAAGTATAAACGAAGTAATTGATTATGGAAATAAATGTTACACAATGTTGACTAAAAAAAAAATGAATACTATCTATCAATCTACAAATTATTTTGTGTGAATGAAAAACATTCTAGAAGAAGAAGACGAGAAGAAAGAGAGAGGTGGTCAGGTGGAATTGGATTCATGATGAGACCGTTGACGTGGCTGTGTATGTGCTTCTACGCGGCTGCGGAAGGCGATCAACGAAGAAGATCTAATAAGAAACCATATTTAGATCGGTTCACGAATGGTATTGATCAGAGGAGACTGAGTTACACAAGTTGTCTTAAATTGTCTTTACAAGTCCATGGAGCGGGTACACTTAAAAGATCCCATGGGACTACTATTTACGTAACAATTCACACTGAGCATTGTTACGATTTACGTATATAATAAGATCAGCCAATGCATCGACATCTTATATTCAACATATATCTTTCAAGAAGTCATGATCCAACGGGAGAGGAATCCGCAAGGTCGCCATGTGACTTGACGATCGGAAGAAGTAGTTGTATTTGAGGGAGCCAAACTAAAGGAGACGTGGCTAACAATGTGAAGGAGATATGAGCGTGAAAACGAGACAGAAACTTCTCTCTCTCTCACAAGGGCGTTGGGGTTTCGGTTCGGGTTCGGGTCGGTTCTATTCGGGTTCAGGTCTCTTCGGGTTGCTAAATTTTAGACCCGTTCGGGTTTAGGAAAATTTCGGTTCGGTTTCGGTTCGGTTCCTGTCGGGTTCGGGTCGGTTCGGGGCTAAATTTTATGGACCCGTTTGGGTTTATACAAATTTTGGTTCTTATTGGGATTTCATTCGGTTCTGATTCGGATCGGTTTTTATCGGTTTTATTAACCGAATATCCAAAATCCTACAAAATAACCGATAAAATCTTGTTATAATCCATCTTCTACTAATATTTTTGGATTTTTCAAATATTTTGGTTATTTTGTTGGGTTTTGTGCAAAAAAACCAGGCAACTAAATTAAATTTGCAAATCAAACCCTCAGTTTTTTTTTGTGCAAGTCAATCCCTCTAACTCCAAAGTCACCCGCTAAACAGCCATTGCGTATATCGTCGACGTGTCAACAGCAAAACACTGCGTTTTAGACATTAAAACAGCACGCAGTTTAAGTTTCTATGCCGTTTTGGGACAAAATTAAAACACTCGAGATGAAATGGTCGGGATTTCATTTGGGAATAAACTAAAATCGATTTGGAAGAAATACTAAATTAGGGTTCTTTGGTGATTTTAAGCTTGAATCCTGGGTAAACTCCCTAGAAGCTTGAGCGATTTTATGATTGGAGGGGTTTTCTTCTGTCTAATTCGTTTTGATATGATTTTTTTTTTCATTCGCTGACTGAGGAATTTTTCGATTTTCATTGACTGCATTTTTGTTTGTTCCGGTTTCTATGAAAGTTAAAGCTTAATAATCGTCTGGTTTTAGGTGTTTGATTTTTGCTCTCAGTACGAGAGAATTGAAGCTTTTTAGTCGAATTTGATTCTGTGAAATATCCGTTTGTGCGTCTGTATCTTTGTCTCATTGGTCCAAATTTTGATTCTGATGAAGATTTTTTTTTTTTTTTCTGATGAAGATTTATGATGTCTTTCAAAACTTATATGTTCTTGTTTATCTTGATCCTTATTGTTTTAGATTTTGTCAGTGAAACCAGAGATGGAAACAGAAGACGACAATTGGGGAAGAAGCTCTTCAAAATTGAGTGAACCGGGAAACCAAACTTTCACTACACCAAATCAGAAGTGGGAAGATGCTTCAATCAAAATGGATATGGAGCCACCTACTGTAGCTTGCAATTTTTCCAACAGATGAAAGCTTCAGGAGAAGATAACAACAACAACAAATCAATGTTGATTTCTTGAAAGGCGTTAGAGCTCAAGCATGGGATCCAAGAACGATGCTTACCAATCTATCTTCATCTGATCGTCGGACGCAACGGCGGGCAGCAGCTTCACGGTAGTCGTCAAGACAACGAGCTCGTGGCCTCAGCAGCAGCAACAGCTCATAACGACTGATCTTACTTCCATAATCATACAGCTGATATCAACTGCAGGTAGTCTTCTTTCATCTGTTAACCATAATATGTCAACAGCACCAGGTCCATTCACTGGACAGCTGGGTGTTTTACTCTCTGGTTCTACGGAAGATAATTAATCCACTTTTTTGTTTTGTTACTCATCAAATCTCGAATACAAATGCTGCAGTTTTGGGAAACCATGATTACAGAGGTGACGCAGAAGCTCAGCTAAGCTCTATTCTCCGGGAAATCGACACCCGTTGGATCTGTCTCCGATCATTTGTCGTGGACGCAGAGTTAGTCGAGATCTTCTTCGTCACACGACTCCTTTGGTGAAAGAAACAGAAGCCTAACAGAATTTGGATTTCCTTGTAATTTTTGTAACATAGATTTTAAGATTGTTAAGTCTTATTGCAGGCTAGGTAGGCTTCCTTCTTAGTTTAGCATTCTACCATCATCTTTAGCTAGCTATAGCTTATCCAAATTAATAATATCATACTCATACAAATGTAATGATTCTCGTAATGGGCATATATCTTCTTAATGAAGTTAGTCAAACTTTCATTACAATACAACAAACCATTTTTTTCAGTTCAATACAAAGTGGTACCTTCACCTACATGGTTCTCAACGTCCCAGAGAAACGACCCGAAAGTCACAACCTCCAAGACAAGCCTCTTCATCCCACCAAAGCTGATCTCTATCTGTTCGTCTTTCGATGAATCGGTAGTGACTTGCGGTGTTATCACAATCTCGGGCTTACCAAACAATGTCTCGGTGTTTTTCTCGATGATTCCAACTGCTTCTCTTGATCTTATCGTGGCATATCTCTGAAGCGTCTCACTATCATACGACATATGTCCTTAACCGGGATGGTTTAATCTCGCTGCCAAAGCCTTCAGAGCTAACTCCGGTGGCAAACAAACCAACCTCGTGGTGAGTGGATACAGCCGCTCAGGAAGATTCTTCATCGTCTTCTCTAGCTGAAACCTTTGGTCCAGCCGCTTCAAGAAGTATCCATACATGACAGAAGCAGCATAGATTTGTCCAACTCGGAGTTTGCTTATCTGTGCAACAGAGGTCAGGTCACCCATTCTGCTTCAGAGAATCAAGGCTAGATGGTCGTGTATCATCTCGTACATCTAAGGCGAGTGAAGCCGCTCAAGCTTCCAAGAGATTACCCAAGATTCTAAAATGGCCAAGAACCCTAATTAAGCATTTCCCCAAATCGATTTTAGTTTTTCCCATATGAATTCCCGACATTTTTTCATTTCACTTCACGTGTTTTAATTTTGTCCCAAAACGGCATAGAAACTTAAACTGCGTGCTGTTTTAATGTCTAAAACGCAGTGTTTCGTGTTGACACGATATACGTAATGGCTGTTTAGCGGGTGACTTTAGAGTTGGAGGGATTGACTTTGCACAAAAAAAAATTGAGGTTTGATTTGCAAATTTAATTTAGTTGCCTGGTTTTTTTGCACAAAACCCTATTTTGTTCTAAATATAACTATTAGATTAGATTTATAATTGTAATTTTAGTTATTTTTTAATATTATAAGCTATTATAAGTCTAAAAAGTAACTAATATTTTGGATTTATAATTATATTTTGGATATTTCGTGTACCCATTCGGTTCTCGGTTCGGTTCGGGTTCGGGTTCAGTTTTTTGGGTATAAAATTTTTGGACCCATCAGGTATTTGTCTTGGTTCCGGTTCGGTTCGGTTCCATCTTTTTCGGGTCGGGTTCGGTTCGGGTTTTTCGGGTCCGGGTAAAATGCCCAGGCCTATTTGTAACTAGGATGGTGAAGTAATCAAGTTTCTGCATACATAAGTTCATGCGAAATTTTACAACTGATTTATCCCACATAGCTAGTTACACAATCGTTTTCCTATTTATACAAAATGTAAATGAGAGTTGCTTAAAATTTCAAACTTTATCTTAAGTATTACAAATTAAATATAATATTTACAGACACTTACGGTTGGTTGTTTTGAATTTGGATATGAGCTTCATATAGATTATTGAGAAAAATTTGAGCAAAACATAAGCAAAATATAAGCAAAATCTGAGTAAAATACAAGAAAAAATGAAAACAAAAAAAAAGAGATTAAGAGATGAATTACCATGAGAGATAAATATATTTGTCAACATCTTGAAAAGTGCAGTGTTCAGCCAATTTGGCTACCGTCTTGATGCTTTCCACGGTTGCTTCGTCTTTTGGTATGTTCCTATCTAAGCTCGGACGTAACCACATGACCAAGTTTTGCTTCTCCTCGCTCAACGTCTCATCATTCGATGTCCTTCCCGTGATCATCTCCATTAGGATCACCCCTAATGCATAGACGTATGCCTTGCTTCATAGCTTTTAAAATTTGAAAATGAATCTCACTCACCAACATAATCCGGATCTATATATCCTAATGTTCCCACAACTGCTTATGTCTCAACAGAATCAACTCCCTCAGGTAAGACCTTCAAACACTAGAAGTCGGATATTTTTGCTATCATACCATCTCCTAGAAGAATGTTGGAGGGCTTCAAGTCTCTGTGAATGTAGTTGTTTCTGGCTAGATCATGAAGATCTCTCGTGCCACATCAAGTGCTATGGTCACTCTCTGATATCAAAATTGTACTTACTGTCAAATTTTGTTGACTTGCTTGCAAAGTAACATCCGTAACCGTACGTGTCAAAATGAGTAATCCAAACCCAACCCAATCTTTTCCGTGATCCAACCCATGGAGTCCAATAGTCCATGACCCAAAAAACATTATTTTTAGGGGAACTTAAAAGATCCCATGGAGTCCATGAGATCTTTGATAGCCTTCATCTACAACAATGCTCAATGAAATTATTGTTATTTGTAGTCTTTTATAACAACAACACTTTGATGGGGGAATATATCTTCTATACGATAATGCCTATGAACATACACTTGTAATCAGAGTCTTGTGTTTACTTGTATGTTCATAATGTGTGAATTATGAAAACAAAAGTCTTGAAAAAAAAAACAAGTTTATATAATAATATGAACATAATCTCCATGTATATCTTTTCTTTGATAGGGGAATATATCTTTGATGCATTTAGTTGTCTCTATGATATGTTTCTTCCCAAATTTTGGCAGAGAAATCAAAACTTTTGAACCCTATAGAAAACCAAAAGGCAAATCCATGGATAAAAAAAGAGAGGTATAAACGAAGTAATTGATTATGGAAACAATGTTACACAATGTTAATTAAGAAAAAAAATGAATACTATCTATCAATCTACAAATTATTTCGAGTGAATGCAAAAAAATTCTAAGGAAAATTAAGTGGCGAATTCATCTTACAATAGAGGATAACATCTTTAATCTTTTCATCTCTTTCTTCATCGTCCACCATTGGACTCCTATCGAAAGAATTAACCGGAGATGGTTTCATGGAGTGAACCGATCTGCTCCTCCGTAATAGTTTCTTATTAGATCTTCTCCGTTGATCGCCTTCCGCTGCCGCGTTGAAGCACATACACAACCACGTCAACGGCCTCATCATGAATCCAAAGCTGCTTCTTCCACTTGTTTTTGGCTGTGACATTGTTAAAGTATCGAATCTTTAAACTCAAGAACAAGAATCTTACGAGTGCAAATCCAAGAATAAGGCTTTTAGAGATGTGTAAATGTAGAAGATTTTGCGTTTTCTTCCTCTTTTATTACTTTTCCATAAGACTAGGGATAATGAGTATATATAAGCATACCAAAATTTTGATATTTCTAGTGATTTTGTAAGGACTACAACATGTGTTAGAGATATTAATTTCCTGATTTGATTTAGCTCATTAATGTATTTCTAATTAATGTTGCGGCTAAATATGAGGATCAAATATTGTTACCACCTTTAAAGGTAATAAAATCTGCGGTAATATCGTTTTCATTTTCCTAAATATATCTGCTAAATCGATGCTATATTTTGGTTTTGACTAATCTTGTAGCTTTTGGTAAAAAGATTTCTTCTTCCATAACTAGCTTTTGGTAAGAATATGATTGTAATTTTTTGTATCTGAAGATTCTCAAAGCTTTAATTAATTTAAAAAAAGGGAGGTCACAAAAACAGAGGTAAAATGTATAATAAACCCAACTACACTACGCTCACATGTTAGAAATGATAGGATTCCATACGCTCTCCAATTCCTTCATCTTATCTTCAAACTCGTATACTTCAGCAGATTGGTTAGCATCAAGCCATTGGATTGTATCCTCAAACAAATCTTCAATCTTCTTCTTGTCTTCAGCAGCAAGCAAATCACCGAGGTTAACATCACGGATTGTGTTTCTCATCTTGTAAGCGTAGTTCTCAAGAGCGTTTTTGGCATCTACCTTCTTCTTATGCTCTTCATCTTCATACTTGTACCTCTCAGCATCTTGCACCATCTTCTCAATCTCTTCCTTAGTCAAGCGACCCTTGTCGTTGGTGATCGTGATCTTGTTCTTTCTCCCGGTGTTCTTGTCCTCCGCCGACACGTTGAGGATACCGTTTGCATCAATGTCGAAACATTCTGTGATCTGAGCGATACCACGTAGAGCCGGAGGGATACCAGAGAGAGTGAATGTACCGAGGAGGTTGTTGTCTTTGGTCATAGGTCTCTCACCTTCGTAGACATTGATCAACACACCTGTCTGGTTGTCTTCGGCTGTGGTGAAGATTTTTTCCTTATTAACAGGGATTGTTGTGTTCCTCTCGATCAAGATGTGCATGACTCCACCGATGGTTTCAACACCGAGAGAAAGAGGAGTCACGTCCAAGAGAAGAAGGTCGTTGATCTTTTCGCTCCCTTGACCGCTTAGAATCACTGCCTGAACAGCTGCGCCATAAGCCACAGCCTCGTCAGGGTTAATGGACTGACATAGCTCTTTACCATTGAAGAAGTCTTGGAGAAGCTGTTGGACTTTGGGGATACGTGTAGATCCACCGACAAGGACAACATCATGAACTGCGTCCTTGTCCATCTTAGCATCACGGAGACACTTGTCAACAGGCTCCATACACATTTTGAAAAGATCAATGTTAAGTTCTTCAAACTTAGCACGTGTGATTGGACAATAGAAATCAATTCCTTCAAAGAGAGAATCAATCTCAATAGCGGTTTGTGCTGTGGAAGAGAGAGTCCTCTTTGCTTTCTCGCAAGCTGTTCTTAGTCTCCTAAGAGCTCTAGGGTTAGAGCTAATGTCCTTCTTGTTCTTTCTCTTAAACTCTTGAACAAAATGTTTAAGCATTCTGTTGTCGAAATCCTCACCACCAAGATGGGTGTCTCCAGCAGTTGCCTTGACCTCGAAGATACCTTCTTCAATAGTGAGAAGAGAGACATCAAAAGTACCACCACCAAGATCAAAGATGAGAACGTTCTGCGCTCCAACACTTGTTGCCTTCTTGTCAAGACCATAAGCAATGGCTGCAGCAGTAGGCTCGTTGATGATACGCATAACATTCAAACCAGCGATCACACCAGCGTCCTTTGTTGCTTGACGCTGAGAGTCGTTGAAGTAAGCTGGAACAGTGACAACAGCGTTCTTGATCGAAGTGCCAAGGTAAGTTTCAGCGATGTCACGCATCTTAAGGAGTACCATTGCGGAGATTTCCTCTGCGGCGAATTTCTTCTCTTCTCCTTTGTAGTTGACGACGATCATTGGTTTCTCGGCAGCTCCAGGGATGATCTTGAATGGCCATAGCATCATATCGCTTTTGACGGTTGCGTCACTGATTCTACGACCAATCAATCTCTTTGCGTCTGTCACAATCACCCAAAAAAATATATAAACAAAATCAAAAACCCTAAGAATTCAACAATTTTACGTAACGGTCACTTAACCGAGCTAATAATCAAAATAAAGATGAGATTACATACCGAAGACAGTGTTTATTGGGTTCATGGCGACCTGATTCTTTGCGGCATCACCAACCAACCTCTCGGAGTCGGTGAAGGCGACGTAAGATGGCGTAGTTCTGTTACCTTGGTCATTAGCGATGATCTCAACACGATCGTGTTGCCATACTCCGACGCAGGAGTAGGTCGTACCGAGATCGATCCCGATTGCTGGACCTTCTTCTCCTTGACTTGCCATTATCAAAAACTAACACGGGAAAGTTTTAGCGAGAAAGACAAAATTTGGCTCAGGTTTTTAGTATAAGAACGAGCGTCAAAGTTGAGGTGTTTATATAAAGCTCCAAGACTTGTGTTTTCGAGACTGTTATATAAAGGTATCATGCATGTTGATACCTTTTTGCATTATTCTTAGGCAACATTGTCCAATGAAAAAAAGGAAAAAAAGAAAAAGAGAAAATTGTAATAAAACAGAAAAAGCTAATTAATTGGAAAACTGGAAAATACTAATCTAACGTTCATATGGTGGTGGTCTGTTAATTAAATGACTTTTTAACGATTTTTTTTCCTTTTCCTTCCTGCAAAACCAATTTTCGTAGGATACCCTTCCTGCAAAACCAATTTTCGTAGGATAAAATACTTAGGCATAAAACCAATCTAATTAGCATTTTTTTAAGCATTGATTTGTAAAGTTTTGTGGCGACTTTACATATGATTAAATTGATTAAGTAATGCTATGTAATGGATTGGTTTTTATCAGAATTTTAGTTTTTCTTGGTTTTCTGTAAATTTTAAATATAACTGTAAACTGATCCAAGTTTGTTTATACAAAACTTATAAGATGTAAGGGAAAAAATAATTATAGTGCTAGTTTTTCTTTTCTTCTAAATCTTCAAATTTCCATTAAAACTTAAACGGTTTCGACAGCAAAACTATAATTTAGGATTATGAGTTGGATGTTAATCTTGTATTAATTCCCATCAAAGCCCTCATAGAGTAATAGGTTACAGTAAGAAAACTTTTTCTTTTTCTTTTTTGATTCTCTATTCTGGTCAAGTGACGTCTTGTCGGAAAATTGGGGTAGACAATGAGGCAAGTGGTCGATCACTAGGCTCTACTCTAGTCTACATAGTGAAGTAAGAACAAAAATTATACTAAGAATGTATTCAATAATTACATCACATCACATGTTGATTTTCTTAAACTATTTCGGGGTTGAAATGTAGTCTTATCTTTATTGGCCAAGACAAGTAACGACGAATCAAAACACAAAACCTTAAACAAGCAAAAGCTGAACTTTGGACAAACCACTTAAATTTAAGTAGAGAGTTATAATGACAATGATTTTTTTTTCTTCATTTGACGACAATTTTTCTTTATACTGGGCTAGGCGCCTAGGCCCATGCATGTTTCTAACGCGATCCGAACATGTAGACATCAGAGCGCAAGAGAATCACTATCTAAAAATGAATGAAACATGTCGAAATATGATCGTGATCGTAAATATATATATATATATATATATATATATATATATATATATATATCGATTCACTCTGATCAGGCCAGGACAGAGAAATGTTGTTGGTATTGTAATTTGTATAGATTTTGCCAAATTGACGTACTCTTGTTTTTTTATTTTTTAAAAAAAATTGTTTCAAAATCTAGTAGATATATTTTGTCAAACAAAATTATGTTGAATCTTTTTATCACTGGACTCCAAACCATTGCACTCGGGTACTCTTTCATCAATATACCTTATTTAGGTTATCTATAAAATGTTACATTATTTATTGAAAAAAATTCTACAGAACTTTTCTTCCTTTTGAGAAAATGGAGATGCTTTTGGAAGAGGATGACATCAGCCCTAGTAGAAATCGGGAAACGAGAATATCGGACGTCGGAGAGTGAGGTGGCATTGTCAGCCTCATCCACCAACTCGGCCATGGACCTCTTTTTCCAGTTTCCACTAAGTTTGTCTCACGTACATTTTAGATTTTCGATATACGTACAAAACGTTTTTTTTTTTGTGAGAGAAAAAACTTACAAAAACTTCAACCGTATTTATTAGCAATATATAGTTCAATTCTTACAACGTTATAAATACATGGTTACATATGTGTTTTTATGGAGATACACGTCGATGAAAAAAAAAGGTTTTGTGAATATTTGCCGACACGGATGTTGATAGGCTTCTTGGTGGTGTGTGTGACCACCAATTTATGAAATTAAATTATAAAGATTATATGTAATATAAGTAAAACTTATGATACGCTTCGGGTCAAAGAGAAATGGAGAGAGAAAACGACTGAAAGAAACTTGAGGGTTGCTCAAAATCACTACGTGCGTGGCATTTCTCGTAATTCTCTACATTGTTTCGAGGGGTATTGAAGAAGTATCAAACTACAACAAAATTTAGTTTTTTCTTCGTTTTCATTTTTCGCTTTAATTATTGAAAACCAAATAAAAGAAAACGTACCATTTGGCAGCTCCTCTTGTCCCCTTAAGGTTGAAGTGTGAGATATAATTTATTTATTTTTGATCCAACCGAGCAAAATGGTAAACATTAATTCACACAAGAAGAAAAGTTAGACAACCTTAAAATATTGATAGAATATTTTTTCTTACCGTAAATTGTAGTCCTCTTTTAGATTTTTAGTTCAGCTCAATTTTTTTTTCTCGATTAGAATAAAATTAGATAAAAGTAAAATGTGTTGTGAGAAAGAGAGAATGAAGGTTGTCCTATTCCATGAGTGAAGAGCTTTTATATAGAGTACATAGTAGGGTTCCAAGGGAAATCAACATTGGGGAGAAGTGGGCCTAATGGGCATCCACCTATGGAACTAATGGGCATCCACTTACCCATAACACTCCCCCTTGGATGTCCATTATACAAAAATATATTCTAAATACATAAGGTGCTGCCTCGTTAAAACCTTTACTAGGAAAACCCTAAGGAAAAACCTTAGCTAAGGAAAAAGAGTGCAGCGCATAATTACTCCCCCTCATGAGAACACCGTCTAAATGTTTGAGATGACATAATCCAACAAGATGAACTAACTCCTTGAAAGTAGCGCTGGAAACTCCTTGTTTAAAGAAATCTTCAAAATCTTCACTTGAATAATCTTTAGAATGTTGATATCGCCATTCTTCGTAGTGCATGGATGTAGTTGATGATTCATCTTGAATCATTCTCTTTGTTTCACTTGATCTCATAAATGGATGACAAGACTTTGGAAAAGGAGATAACTTTCATCTTTAGACTTCCTTTAGATGTTTCTCATTTGTGTGTTCTTTGTTGCCTCATTAAAACCTTTCATGGAAAAACCCAATGGGATAAAAACCATGATAAGGAAAAAGAGTACAACCACACATATCATCATATATCTCCCCTTGGAAGCATCTTCTTCAAGAGATGCATTCCAATAATCAATACCAACTTTTGGAGATTACTATGAATATAACCTCATATGATTATCTTATAATCTTCTAGGTCATTTAAACTTCTAGTCTATGACTCATTTTTCATAAGTAATGTTTTTGTTTGGTCTATTTGGACTTCGGCCAAACTTTCCTTTACATACAATTCTTGTAAATATATCTTGTATATAAGTTATCCATGCTCATTTGTTCTCATCTTTCAGTTATGAAAGAGACCAACACATTTCTCAAATATAATTTAAAGTATGTACTTCAAGACCAAATGTGAGCATTTTTAATGCAAATCTTACAAGGATCTTTTGAGATACATCTCTTTTGTTAAACTGTGAATATGAGATATCTTAAGACAAATTTGTCTTTCCAATATCTTTTATCTAATTTCGACAATTCTTCAGGAATTTCGATAATGTTTAGATTAAAGATCTCTTTTGATCCAACCTTAATATTTTTATAAATATACACTGATTGTATATATATCACTTTTGTGATTGTACCCCACTGAGAGTATTTCTCTTCATTTGATCAAATAATTAGAGTTCTTCGGGAACATAGTTTTGATATCATTAATCCTTCAGGAATTATATCCTTCAGGGACTTTTATAAAAATGTCATTATTTAGTGGGTCTTATGAGTCAAGTTCTTCTTTCATTGCCACACTTAATGAACTTGAAAGTTGCATCCACCACATGCCTATTATAACCCACTTGTTTTACACTTTTTAAGATGTAAGGACTTCTGGTCCAAATACATTTCTCTTTCTAAGAGATTTTAGTTTTACGTCTATTGCTTCTTTTCGATTTGGCCAAATCATTACTTTGTGTACACAATGCAATAGACTTTGTTTCATGATCCTCTTTCTCATTCATAACATCAACTGCTATAATGCATGCAAATATTTTATTTACGACGTCGATTTGCTTTTATGGTTCCATTTTATTCCATACATGACATAATTAATTCTCGAGATCTCTTCTTTGTCTCAGGTACCTGAATTTCTTTCTTGTCATGTTTAATATCTCTTCTTGAGATCATTTCAAAAACATTTGTTTCCTCGGTTTAACCATTATCAATTTATGCTCATTTTACTTTACCGAGGTCTAATATTTGGAACCAACAAGTCTATCACACTTCATGCGTTCTTTAGACTTACTAGCAGCTTGATATTGTCCTTCTGGGAAATCAATTATTTTAGAGCATTTACAGCTGGTAAGTGACTCAACACTATATTTGGGTCAGTAATTGTATCTGGCAATTGATACAGTAAGTTTTGTGAATGAATTATCTTTTGGACTTTTATTTCACATACTATCGTCTGAGGATCAATGATAATTCATTCTAACTTTAATCTTTCTCCAGCTGTTTTATTTTCTCCCCCTGATGTTGGAAAGACTGAATCACTAAAATGACAGTCTACAAATTGAGCCATATTTAAATCCTTCATGGATAGCTCTAAATATTATCATAGGAGATTAACATCCAACATACATTTACTATCTCTTTCGAGGGTCCATCTTATATTGTTGTGGTGGAGCGTTATGAATGTATTCTGCACATCCATAGATCTTTAGATGGAAAACTTTGGTTTCTGACCTAAACCAATTACGATGGGGAGAAATTTTAGTTATTCATTGGCTTTATGCGAATTAATGCTTTTGCATTATGTGTAATGATGAACATTTGCTACTGGATGTTCAACATTTATTCTTACAAACATGTTTTTCTCAACAAAGATTTAAGATGTGATTTCACTAGCACTACCAAGTAATCTCGCAAACTTCAGGTTGCAGATATGTAACATTG